ACAGAACAACTGTGTCAACTCTTGAAACTGTGCCTGCAGTCAACCTACTTCACATATGGGGAGCAATATTATAGGCAGAAACATGGGTGTGCTATGGGGTCTCCAGTTTCTCCTATTGTTGCCAACCTGTACATGGAGGAGGTAGAAAAGAGAGCCTTGACGTCCTTTTCAGGGACACCACCAAGTCATTGGTTCAGGTATGTTGACGACACCTGGGTTAAAATCAAATCTCAGGAAGTCCAACATTTTACTGACCACATCAACTCTGTGGATAAATACATCAAGTTCACACGAGAAGATGTAAAAAATGGCAGGTTGGCTTTCTTGGACTGTGAGGTCTCAGTCTCTGATAGAGGACATTTGCAAACTGAGGTGTACCGCAAACCCACCCACACAGACCAGTATTTGCAGTTTGACTCCCATCACCCTTTGGAGCACAAGTTAGGAGTCATCAGGACTCTGTACCACAAAGCAGACAGCATCCCCACTAGCTCAGGAGCCAGGCAGAAGGAGAAATCCCACACAAGACAGGCTCTAGAGCAATGTGGATATCCTAACTGGGCCTTCCTGAAAGCAGAGAAGAAACCCAAACAGGACTCCAGTCAGCCAACAGGTGAAAAGGAGGAACCCAGACCCAGACCAGTGGTCATTCCATATGCTGAGGGAGTATCAGAGAAACTGAGACGTTTATTTTCTAAACATAACGTCCCAGTGGCTTTTAAACCCCAAAATACATTAAAGACTGGTTCATCCCAAAGATCCAGTCCCCCGGCACAAACAGAGTAATGTTGTGTATGCTGTTCAGTGTCAGGAGGGCTGTGATCAGTCTTACATCGGGGAAACTAAACTGCCACTGGCCAAAAGGATGGCCCAGCACAGAAGATCAACATCATCAGGCCAGGACTCTGCGGTCTACACTCATCTCCAGGCCAGCGGTCACTCTTTCAGGGATGAAGATGTTCACATCCTGGACAGAGAGGAACGATGGTTTGAGAGAGGAGTAAAGGAGGCCATCTTTGTGAAAAGAAACCGTCCATCATTAAACAGGGGTGGAGGCCTTCGGGTTCAACTGTCCCCCTCTTACAATGCTGTGATTGCTAGTATCACTCAGCCCTCTGTGAACAGTAAACAGCCATCAGGTGCTAATGATCCATTGTTAGGCTGATGGTCCTTCTTGACCATGTGATCAGCTGGTTTTGGTTGTCAGCAGCAAACTGGTTGATCCACTCTGAGAAGGTGCTATTTAAGAGACTGAGCTGAATACAGCACCTCAGACTGAGGAAGTCTCTCGGATGAGAGACGAAACGTATCTACATTTTTTTGTTGTTTTGCTTTTTTTTTTTTTTTTTTTTTTAATGTCTAGAGGACCATATTTAACTTTTTTAGATAGAAAGGAGTTTTACAAGTACAGTCCATTTACCATTTGCCATCATTCTCATACAATGACTTAATTGGTTTTCTGCATAGAGCTCACCATAGCACAGAAACAGCACTAGTAAAAGTCACTAATGATATTCTCATGACCTCAGACAATGGACTTGTGTCTCTACTGGTCCTGTTAGACCTCAGCGCTGCATTTGATACAGTTGATCACACTATTTTACTACAGAGGCTTGAATATAATGTTGGGATTACAGGAACAGCTCTAAAATGGTTTAAATCATATCTATTTGATAGTTTGTAAATGTAAATAATGAATCTTCTTCATACACCAAAGTTAGTTATGGAGTTCCTCAGAGCTCAGTGCTTGGACAAATACTCTTTACTTTATATGTGCTTCCATCAGGTAAAGTTATTAAACAGCATGGGATAAATTTTCATTGTTATGCTGATGATACACAATTATATTTCTCCATTAAACCCAATGAATCCAATCAGCTACTTAGACTACAAGCATGTATTAAAGACATAAAAACCTGGATGACCCTTAATTTTCTCCTGTTGAACAGACAAGACTGAGGCTTTGGTTTTTGGACCTGAGCACCTTAGGAATGAATGTTTCAGTCTTTCTCCCTCCTTAGATGCATTAATCTGTCCTCCAGCTCTAATATTAAAAATCTTGGTGTTATTTTTGATCAGGACATGTCTTTTATCCCCCACATTAAAAACATTACTAGAACCACCTTCTTCCTGTAAGAGTACCACTGCCTGCAGCTCCTCCTCCAAGATGGCCGCTAATTGCCTACACCTGACGGCCATCAGACTGAGGAGGCGTCCCCGACTACAAAAGGCTGCAGTCCAGTGCTACTCTTCGCTGGAGCATATCACCTTCCATGTGTTTCCTGGTTCCTCGGCTTGTTAAAAGGACCCCTCATGATCCTTTGGTTTCCTGACTTCCTCGTGTCCTGTTCCTGGTCCCTCGGGCTCCCTCGTGGCCTGTTCTTGGTTTGTAGACCCCCTTGGGTCCCTCCTTGGCTCAACCTCCCTCATGCCTGGATCCCCCTTGCCTGGTGCTTCTAATCCAGCCAGTGCCTGCCCTGCCAGCTACTGGACTCTCTCTGGACTCTCTGGAGCTCTCTTGGAGGATTGGAACCCACCTCTGGACCAAACTGTAAGAGATTCACAGAACACAAAATATCAGCTCCTAAGATCTCCACCTCCATTCTGACTAATCCTCTACCTCCTCCAGGAGCTGCAGAGAAGCTGCACCAGCATTGTACATTATTTCACCTGTAAATAAACACTGTTCTTTTGTATCCACCTGAGTCTGTCTCGTTCCGGGTCTCATACAAATCTGGGTTCCCCGCGGTTATGACACTTCCACCTGCGTAATATCACTAACATTAGAAACATCTGATCTTAAAATGATGCAGAAAAACTGGTCCATGCATTTGTCACATCTAGACTGGACTATTGCAATGGTTTATTATCTGGATGTCCAAATACTTCTTTAAAACGTCTTCAGTTGATCCAAAATGCTGCTGCCAGAGTCTTAACTGGAGTTACTGGGAGAGATCATATCTGTCCAGTCTTAGTTTCTCTTCATTGGCTCCCTGTCAAATCCAGAATAGAATTCAAAATCTTACTTCTAACCTACAAAGCTCTCAATAACCTGTCTCCATCTTATATTACAGATCTTATTGTTCCATATTTTACTAACAGAGCACTTCACTCTCAGGCTGCAGGTTTACTTGTGGTTCCTAGAGTTTACAAAAACAGAATGGGAGGCAGATCTTTCAGTTCTCAGGCTCCTCTCTTGTGGAACCAACTTCCAGTTTCTGTCCATGAGGCTGACACATTGTCCAGATTTAAAACTGAGCTTAAGACTTTCCTTTTTGATAAATCCTATAGTTAGAGTTGGCTTGTTATGTTGCCTTAAGCGTAGACTTAAACTTTCTGGCCGGCTGTCCTACCTCTACCCCATCTCTGGCCCTCTTAGCAACATAGTTATGTATCAAATAATACAACTGTTCTGTCTGATGGCTGATTTACTTGTTGTTCTTGTTCCTGGTTAGGCAGTTGAAAAGTGAAAATGAAGAAATGCATAAAGCATTTTCCTTTTCAACGTTTGTTCTTCCTTTTAAATCTCAAACAGACAACTCTTACGTCCTCTGCATTTTTAATATCCAACAAACTGGCGTCAATTTTATATTCACTTCAACTGCAATACTGTTTCAAAGTAGGATACTTTTTTAATTATAATTTATTTATTTTTTATTAATAAAGCTATAAACATTTTTATTTTCAGTATTTACATGAACATGAACTTTTCTTTGGCTCTACAATGTAAATATACCAATAAATTGTTACAGTTAGTTATAGATTTTTACAAACAACGATTCGTTTCATGTATGTTGTATTTACTGAAGTCTTTATGAGCTGTCATTAGTTTCCATCTCTTGGTGCAGGGGGGTCACCATGACGTCACCACTCCTGCCCAGAGGAGTCCCTGAAGAAAACAATCTTATTTTGAAAGGCTGAACCGGATGTAGTTTTAGACCACTTTGTTTGGTGTAATGGTTTGTAGCAGAACTAGCCCAGTTCTGCTGTGGTTCTGTGAACCCAGTCTGGCTTGTGGAGGAAGCAGTCAGAGTGTGTCTGGACGGACTTCAGGAGTCTCAGTGAACGAGTCGAAACGAAAAACTTTTCTTTTGTCCTGTTTGTCACTTCCGGAGTGCGGACATCACAAACTCAAGCAGGTAAGTTTCACTCAACTGAAGCCGAAGAGTTGAGTTTATCCCAGTTACAAATGTCTCAGTGTCACAAACTGGGTCGAAGCAAACGCGTCCAAAGCTTTAATACAACTTTATGAAAAGTGAATGAAGTTTCTTATTCATAATTTATTCAGGCGGCATCAGTAAACACCGTTTGGCAGAGGAACTGGTCTGTCGCGGTTTAAAGGACCGGAAGTGGCAGAAGAACAACATGTATCTGAGGAGGCTCAGAAAGACTTGTTGACTGCAGAAGACCTGTTACTCTCAGAAACTCTGACTATAAATGACTTACCTGCATCTTTACCATGCGACTCCAAACTGGGATCTCTAAGGTTGTTGCAGAATCACAATCTGGTTTCTTTAAGAAGATCAGTCCTGATACTGGTCATGGACCTGATACTGGTCATGGACCTGACTGAATGTAGGGAGATGATCCAGGGCCATGGTTTTATTTCTTTTCTTAGACTTTTACAAAGCCTTCGACCCTGTGGAACACCAGTTTTTATTTTCAGGTCTTGAATGTTTAGGATTTGGAGAAAAGTTTATTAATTTAATAAGAGGTCTTTATCAAACATCAGTAGTTGTGTAATGCTGCCTAAAGGCACCACAGCTAGATTTATCATTAATGTTGGCATTCCTCAGGGATGTCCCATCTCCCCATATCTTTTTGTTTTAGCTGCAGAAATGTTAGCGATCTTTCTTAAAAACTGTGCAGACATTGAGAAATTACACGTCTTTAGTACAGAATTAATTATTAGCCAGTTAGCAGATGACACTACCGTCTTCTTTAAAAACCACAAGCAGGTTACAATAGTAACTGATCAAATACAATTATTTTCAGAGGCCTCAGGGCTAACACTTAATTAAAAAAAAAGTGAACTTCTAGCCATTCATGACACATCACTAAAAGAAATATCTAGTGTTCCAATTAAATCTGAAATTAAATACTTAGGAACTTAGGAGTGTTGTCACTTAATGCATGTTAATGGTTAAATGTTAAACTGTGAACAATTCTGTGCAAAGTATCAATTCTATCCCCCAAAGTTGAATTTACCAGATTAATTAAAGCATTACCAAAACCATTTATTAATCTGATATAAAATATAACAGCATATCATCCACATTTACCCACTCTATCTATTAATGGAATATCATTTACTGACAATAAATTCAACAGCCACACAATTAGAAGGTGTCTGAATGAAACCCTGTTCCCTGGGAAAATAAATAAAACAATATACTTTGCAAATTTGACAAAAAATCAATATAAATGTTAAGAACTCTATATTTAAAACTCCCCGTACAACCAAAGGCTAAAGAAACGCACTTTAAATGTTAAATGCAGTTGACCCCTCCAAAGAGCTACGAAGAACTCGTTTTAATATCGATGACAGTAAATGCTCGTTCTGTGAACAGGATGTAGAAACGATAGATCATTTCTTCTTTGAATGAAACAAGACCTAAATATTCTGGAATCACTTGGAAAGATGGATCAACTGAAAATTACACGTCCTCAATCTATTTCCAGAGACGTGGGAACATCTGGAGTGTTACTGGAAAACAACTCTGTTGTAATCTGATATTTTGTCCGGCACAATTCTTTATTCATAAACAGAGAGTAAAAATAAAATGTGATAACTGTTTTTTATCTGAATTCCAATTATATTTGAAATCTCTGAAATATATTGAAACACATGAAGACCTGTATGAAAAATTAATGGAATTGCCCACTATTGCATGTTAATCCTGTTAATCCTGTTAATCCTGTTCCTAAAACAAATAGCCCCTTGTTGTAGTTTATTTTCTTTCTTTCTATCTATCCATCTATCCATCCATCTATCCATCCATCTATCCATCCATCATTTCTTCCTTCCTTCCTTCCTTCCTTCTTTTCTTCCTTCCTTCCTTCTTTTCTTCCTTCCTTCCTTCCTTCCTTCCTTCCTTCCTTCCTTCCTTCTTTTCTTCCTTTCTTCCTTCCTTCCTTGCTTCCTTCCTTGCTTCCTTCCTTCCTTCCTTCCTTCCATATTGAAGTCTGCCTCTGTTAATCCATTTTTACAGTTACACTATTGTGAATTGCCATATTTGTTTGTACTTGTTTTTGCTAATTAAAGTTTTCTTAAAATATATATATATATATATATATCTGTTTAGAAATAATAAATTACTTTCAAAAACACTTTATTGTTTGGGTGCAGTGTGAATGATTTTGAGTGTGAAAGTAGCAGCAGACTGGTAAAAGTAGTGTCAGAAGATAAACGTGGAGCTGTTGGGGTCTTCGTCAGAGACAAGAACTCTGTCTTGCTTCATGAATGTTGAGTGAAACGTGTGGTCCTTCTCTGCAGGTGTCTGTGTGATGGTATGATGACCAGACGGAGTGGTGCTGTGAGGGACTGCAGCCCCGGAGGCTGAGCTCCTTCACCTTTAGCCCGTCAGGATGAACACGGCTTCAGTGGCTTTCAGTAAGTCCTGCTTTGTGTTCTTCCTGGGATTGTGCTCCCTCCTCCTCCTGCTCATCCCAGCTTTCCAGCCTCCGGCCCGGCTTGTAGACCTGCCTCAACCCCGACCCCAGGTCAGACCGGCCCCAGTGCACCATGCTGAGGTTCCAGGAGGTTCTGTCAGCGCTGACGGTGCATATTCAGACTCTGGGCTCGTAGAAGCTCTAAGAACACCCGTTCTAACCAAAGACTTCAGGAATGAAATCCTTGATCTCCAAAGTGGTAAAGACACGAGAAGTCCTGGAAGACTTGTGGACTCAAGTTCACGGTCCAGGCCTCCAGACCACTTAGAACTGAAGGACATTTTTATTGCGGTGAAGACCACCAAAAAGTACCACAAGTCCAGACTGGAGCTGCTGATCCAAACCTGGGTGTCCCGAGCTAAAGAGCAGGTGAGGATTTATCTGTTCCCCTCGTAAAACTGGAGTACAGCTTTGATACAACTCTCCGACAGAGTCCGGTAAAAGCTGATGTGACAAAAGCACTCACAATTTAACAATAATACAGGATTTGAAGAAATAACAGGATTGTAGCCTTTTTGATCAAAACTACAGGTCCTTCTCAAAAAATTATCATATTGTGATAAATGTCATTATTTTCCATAATGTAATGATAAAAATGAAACTTTCATATATTTCAGATTCATTGCACACCAACTGAAATATTTCAGGTCTTTAATTGTTTTACTACTGATGATTATGGCATACAGCTCATGAAAACCCAAAATGCCTGTCCCAAAAAATTAGCATATTTCATCCCACCAATGAAAGACAAGTGTTTTTAATACAAAAAACACCAACCTTCAAATAATCATGTTCAGTTATGCACTCAATACTTGGTCG